TTTTAACATCTTTCTACATGGTTTTTAACGTTAAAGATATTACTCGCACGTAGATAAAGTACCGAGTCCACCTGCGGCGGCTTCTCGATTTTATCTACGTGTTCCCGTTGAGACTATTTCATTTTTGTTTTGTATACATAACTGGGTAGAATTTGTCTAGATACAAGTCAATGTAGGTACTTCCATTATATGTCTGTAAACAGATTCCACGGTTCCAACTTTATAGCTTGTTAATGTGGTGTTTCACATGCTAGGCTAATATGTATTTTCCAAAAATGATAATAACTTAAAGTTTCTGTGCCGGAATTTATTTGATTAAGAAGTACACATGCTTGTACAAAATAATGCTACATTTTGTATATCTCAACCGTGCAATTGTGTGTCAAACACTCAATTACCATTAAATTCACATTAAAAACCTACATCCATTAAAAGTGAACATGATGTTATGTTTGTATTAAATTGTTTTTAATAACATTGTGGTTTTTTTACTTTGAAACATCAATTTTGATAAAAAGGTATTTTTTTCTAAAATCAACAACAGGATACAAATATGCATCAGAAGCAGCAGAAAAGTGGGAAATTCAATATTTGTTTCAATCTGCAGTTGGTAGAGGACACACGAATTATATTAAGACTTAGTATCTCGTTATGATATATAGTCTGCACATCTAAATGTCAAAACAAGAATAATACAATCGTTTGCTTTCATAATACAATGAAACATTCTTCTAAATGACTCTGAAAATGTCCTTAGATAATCCTACCATTATTTGTGATAAGTTATCCCTATTTCGTATCGTCCGGCCTGCGAAGAGAACGACATACATCAAAACATCTATCTTGCCGATACTACTAGGCATGCTCTGGAGATGATGTTCTTGTAATACAAGTAGGTAACAGCAGTTCATAATATTCTACAGCTGTCGTATGATGTACAGATATAACAAATTTACATTATCAGTCTTTACATCAGCTGATGAAACGTCGACATCAGTATATCCCGTTCGATCTCTGCAATGGTTTACAGCTTTAAATGTCCCAATGAATATGTAGGTGTTTATAAGTATCCACGAATCCCTAATAACCCCCAATTTCTCCAATATACAATCTCTGACGAAGTGTAAGGTCCGTACATATCACAATTCCATCACAAGTATTACAAAAAAAATTGATTCCAACTTTCTCATATTCTCTGTTTGTGTGCCTTAGCATAATGAACCTTTCCATCAGGTGATAATTTGTACCTATAATGGAGCTTTAATTTAATTTTAAATACAAATTATTTGCATATGATAAGTCAAGCTTGGGATGATACATGTATCTTTATTTTTTGGCAAGCAATGTCTTAATATTATGGTCATATATGTGTAAACCTGCGTACTTCATGGAACGAGAATTACTAATGCGAGGGAATAGATATGTAGTTCTGTCCAACTTTCATGTCCCATTAAATGTACACAATTTATTTATTTTTTAGATGTATTCTAAGCGAACGTGCATTACATACATACACATAATCAATTAAAGAAAATATATTAACACCAATGCTTTTACATCTTTAATGAGTAAATTTAGTCACTGTCGATAAAATTGTCAAGTCGCATAAGACGAAAAATGTGTGTCAAAATTCCAATAAAAGGGGAAAAGGACAGGGGAGAAATAAAGGTGTTACAAAGTAATACCAACTGGCTGTCAGAACCAATTAACACTTGTTGATTGTTATTAAACAAATTACCATCATTTTGTTGGTTACAATGGCAAATAACTATTATGGATAGAGGTTGCACTTTTATATCGACAAATATTTAAACAATTTATTATATAAAGATAACGTGTTAATACCTATTTACGATTCAGATTATGACAAAATAAATTAATTCATTTAAATATGATATTATAACATATAGCAAATCATATAACTTCTTTGTAGTAAGAATGTACCGGAAGTTCAGATTGTAGTTTATGGGTTATTACAACATGGTACATACTGATATATCATAATATATTGCTGTAAACATCTCAATGACCGCTGTAACAAAATTGTACATGGCGCACACAGTCATAAAAATGAAGGTTGAAGCATATGTAAATGGGTATGATGGTAGTTATTGAGTATTCATACGCGTATCCGATGTATATCTGTTAGGAAATTTCTGTCCAACTTACCTGATTTAGGAAATGTACAGAGTAACACATCATCAGGTCTACATCGCAGAGACGCTACAGTGTCCAGCTGGTCACAAACATTACCAGGATTTTTTTTATGGAATGGTCGTCCCTGGTAACGCTTGAATAAAATGGTATTTCCCTGGTCGTCAGTCTTGTTGATTAGTTCCTTGTTGATGGTACATTGTTGTTTTTTTTACCAACTGTCGCTGTTCAATTCATATTTTTATAGGTGTTCAATATGAAATGATGTAAAAAAAAGGAATATCATAAAAATATCAATAAATTGTTTATTCGTATTCATTATTCTTTTTGATCAGTCTAAAAATCTTATTGGATTTCAAACATTTTTATTTCACGTGCCCGTGATTACCAGGATGCATAATCAGTCCAACAGTAAGGACACAGTCGGTACTAAATCTGATCAAAGCAAACACGATCTTTCGGCTTGGACAGAAATTACGGAAGCAGAGCTTGCTATGTCGGAAAAGGATATTTGTTTTACTCCGATGGCAAGACAGTTTTCGCTTAGAAATTTCCTCTGCCATAAAATATATATTTTTATATTGAAGTCATTTATCAAAAAGAAATTATCCAAAGAGATCATTTTTATGATAATCCCGACTGTAACATTTTGATATTATAACTGACTTATAATATCTTGATATTATAACTCAATTTTATGTTAACTTTTTGTTGAAATATTAATTAGATTACATTACGTGTATTACGTTACCGTGAACTGTACTTACTAATATAAGCCGTCCGGAGTAAAACGCGTCGTGTGTCACACAAGATCGATTTAACAAAAGTTTACTGATGTGTGTGTAACATAAAAAGGTCACGTGATCTTTATACCGCCCAGTCCATGTAAAAGGTCGTAACTGACACACTGACAAACAAACTGTCTCGAATAAAGGAGATCACTGAGTTTGGAGCACAATTGTCTATGTATCTCTCTGTAAGAATATACGTTTGAAATTTAAAAAAATAGTATTTTATGTGAGAAAATATGTCCTATTTTCAACGTCGTTTAATATTGATATACAACCGTGTACGACCTTTAAATGTTTAACTATTATTTTCCGGAGGGTTAGTGATGACTAGTCATTATTCTGACCTACTAATCGAATATAGGACAAGTATGCGGCATATCAACATTGAAAGGGTCGTAAATGTCATTTAAGACCAGTATCCGGATCTGTCATATGTGATGGTAATTTGCTTCTTATTACAGTTGTACTTTAATAGATTATATCAAATATGATGTAAAAAAAAGACCAAGGCTATCACATGAGTTAAAGAATTTATTAAAAGTTGCATTCAATATCAACAGTACCAGTGAGAATCAATAAGACACATGTTAAGCTTTAACCTGTTTTAAAATTATACATTTCCATTATGTTTTAAACGCGTGATATATTAAACAAAACAAATGCAAAGAAGAATATAAATCACCTAGAAATTGGAAATCCTGAACAATTCAACATATACATGTACACATATATCTATATTTTCTTTATGTTATTCTTTGTTTATTTCTGTACTATATTTCCTTTGGTTATCAATATAGACCACTGCTTTGATAAAAAAAAAATCTAGGGAAAAAAAATATTCATATGAACGCATGTTTTAAATAATTGTATGCCGATAAGAATTTTTTTGAATGGTACTAATTTATCTGATTTTTGTCCAAAACAAGAAATAACGAAATTCTTTCAGCTGTTTTGTTATGAAATATTAATTTGATTTAATAGCCTTCCAGGGGTTTTGTCTAAGCAACTTCAGCTTCGTTTTAATTTCGAAACTCTTGTGTTAATACATTATTATATATATGATTGAACAATACTATAAACATCAACGCAAGATATTCAAAAACCAAAATTCCAACTCAAAATTGATGAAACTAAGGCAAAATATGAGCAAAGGAAATATTTAAATGGAGACCATTGAAAAAGTACCAGGATAATAAAACAAGGTGTTCCGGAAGGGTCAGCGTCTTCAGTTTCGTCGACGACACCCGCCATGTAAATCTAGGTCAAATCAAAGTTATGACACGTCCTGATACCAAAAACTTGGCAATACATACAAAGAAATAAAATATTTCCCTACGAAATCGTGATGGCGACTATAAAACTCACCTCTAGTCTCCACCAACCTGCATCTTTGAACAAGCGGTGTTGAATGCATGTACAGGTGAAAATTAAAATAATTCCAACTAGAATATCTCAAAACACACATACCCGGTAAAATTCCTTACAGTTTGGACTGAGACTCAGATGCTTTTGAATTTTGCTCCTCACTGTCCTATTTATACTGCATTTCTAAATGTCTGTGTTAGTTGGGGGTTTGTCCAAAAATAGTACTCAGATCGAGAATCGTGCTCAGAACGAGGTCAGGTGTATAAACTGTATATGCGAGCTTGACGTTGCGTTCCGTGCAGTTAATGCAGACTTTACAGAGTGATTTAAGTGTTGCTTCCTTCAGAAATTGATATTGCTGGATGTCACATGCTATAATATTATTCCGGTAAAAGTACAAGTAAAAATCAATTACGCTGACAACATATAAATTGCAAAAAGCTTTTAACTTGTAGGCGTGTCAAAATGGAAAATGAACAACTTGTCGCATGGTTTTTTTCAATGACGTCACACATCACATGGTCATGTACATCTACAAGAATGATATACAGTTTTGATTATCCTTTCTGTCAGTCATCTGTATTCCGTTAGTTACAAGTATTGTTGGTTCATGTGAGAGTATAACGTAAAATAATGAACAAATGTGGCAAAAACCAAAATTAAACACTTATGACCAAATATATAATTAATTCACTCGTAGACAAGATCAAGATCGACTCCCATGTCACTCATCTTCGATTTGTAGACAGCGTCAAATACTTCATTCTGTGACACAGTGAAGACATTCTTCCAATCACCAACAATCCCTGAATTGAAAATAAAAACAAATTATTTAATATTATGAAATAAAAGTGTCACATTGAATTTCTAACAATGTTAATTGTATTTTGGAAGTGATGAGGAAAAGTATACTATTTACCACCTTATAAAGGTAATGTAAAATAAGCAACATTTCAACAGATGTAGAACATATCTCCTTAATATGTTCATGCAAATTAATGTTTAATAATAGTTTCACAAAACAATGCGTTGGAGATCGTGAATATTATTTTTTACGTGTTCTACCATGTTGGCGATGAAACGTTACTTTTAATTTGAAATAATCATGAAGTATCAGGTGACAGACACGTACATGCATGTTCTGTTTTATCAAATAAATTAAACACAACGCTCTTCCAAACAAGCGATTGGTACGGGTCTTGTTTTTACATGTTTGCCTCGTCAAGTAAATATCTATGTTTTTGCGGCACACAACTAAGCAAAACTAACAGATTAGCACGTTAAGCGTGTGGATTGTAGAAGAAATGAAAATTAGGGTTTATGTAACAAATAACTGCACGCTCATAGAAACTATCTAATTTACATAATTGAATTATTGTGGCCAGCCACGTTGCTGTCGGCAGTGATGCAGACACGAAGCACATTCCATTTTCAGATGAAATAATAGATATACGAAGGGTTTCTTTGTATATCATATTGGAATATACAACCCAACATTCGATACTATCTAATCCCTTCCTTATTTTTTGTGTTTCATCATTTATATTTGTTGTTAAATATTCCACAATATTACACGCAATTGATTTGAGTTTTTCTAACTTCTTTATCAATATTTGGACATGTTTTCATATATTAAAATCCAATACTTGTATCACTTGTCAGAAACGTCTGATGCATTATTAATTAATTATGAGAAAAATATTTAAGGAATCGGTTTATGATGAGAGTGCACTCCGGTTTTTTGTGTTATAGCTCCATAGTATGGAAAAATATATTCAAGTTAAACCTTATAATTTAATCTACTATACACAATCCCTGTGGAAATCCACTTTTCTCTTAGAAATTATTTACGTTATGGGCTTATAACATAAATTTTTAAGCCAATGAAAATGCTTGTTACAAGCAAGATTAAATTATAAAAAAATATATATAAAAATGCAATTTAATCAATATACCTTTCCTATAAATTGGCATCCGCCCATTATCTCCATGGTGATTCCAAGTTGTGGTTTCACCAGCACGTGTTTCATGTTCCTTCTTCAGGTTTTCAAATGTCACAGTACTTTCTACATTTCGTAGAAAAGTTTCGTCGTAATCAACTTCCAAAAAGTCTGCTATTCGCAATATATTCCGGTAAATGTTCTGAAACAGTATAATGCTTATTAGACCTATATTTGTTCAGTTTTCAGTTTATTTATGATAATGTTAGTATTCTAAAGTTCACTTGCAATTCAATGGCTGGGTTGTTATAGTCCAATTTCTTTTAATATCATAAAATTGTTTTAAGCCTCCAAAACAGATTCTTTTTAAATATTTTCAAATACAGACCATGGACCGTTTTTCTTGTCCGTTTAAACGCAAACGTAACGCAAACGCAATGGAAACGGAACGCAAACGTAACCGAAACGCAACTGAAACTCAACGTAAACGCAACGCAAATGCACACAAACCGTTTGGTTTAAACACGCCCCTAAACGCATCTCATAGTAGTCATATTTAACGGACTAAGATTTAAATGTACTTGCTCGCGGAAGCGAGTCGGTCTCTGACCCTAACTCTGACCTCTATTTACCTTTACAGAGCTCGCGTGTTATTTGCACAGCGACGGATGCAGATGTACTCATAGGTAGTATTTTCCCCGTCAGCACTAAAATAAAATATAATTTGGAACAATGATTTTTCCGCCAATATTTTGTGTTTATTGATAATTCGTGTTCAAATGGAATTAATCTTCTAATGACATGCATTTGAAACTCAGCAGTACATTACTTATTTACACCTAATCAGTTAATCTACACGACGCAGAAACACATTCCTTTATATGAGTTCATAAGATTAAAAGTATATTTGATGTTGGTGGTTTTTCACTTATCTTTTTTTTTAATTCTTTATTTTCCCCAAATATCATTTCAAGATAACGTTACGGGAATAATCTTGAACAATGGTTCTTCGATATCAACAAATCTAGAAAGTTTTATTTTTTTGAAGTTTCAAATTCTGAATTTGTTGTTAAAAAAAAATATTGATCTATTTGTTGGAAAACAATACAACCCAAACTAACTAATGTACTTGTAATTGTTTGTTTTTATTTCAAACTAGGTGATAGCAAATGTTCAAAATGAGATAGAATTGAAAACTTTTAAATATTGGATATTAATATCATTATATTTATAAAACAAGTAAACGTGATGAGTTATATTACAAATTCAACTGAAATGCTGCAAGCGAATTCCGTGTAATTATTGTTTTTTCTTAAAATCGTCCTTCTCTACTTGGATCTCAAACAGGTAAAATTCTTTTGATATTCTCCTCAGTGCTACTTTAGTTATATGAGCCTTATCTTGACATACATCTTACAACACAACATACATGTATGCATTCTATACACCCTGTTACGCTTAATCATGTTCATTGCTGTTCTTCAAGTTACACATTTGCATTTGTATGAGTGATTTGATTGAACGTATATTCATACCGTTAGATTAACTAGATTTGAGAATTGAGGATATTTTAGTGGTTAACATCATCTCTCGAAATAAATGCCACCCCTCCTTCCAAATACACCCGAGAGATGATTTAAGCCTCTCGGGTNTCGGGAATTTGTCACAGTTGGTTTGTTTGAACGTATATTCATACCGTTAGATTAACTAGATTTGAGAATTGAGGATATTTTAGTGGTTAACATCATCTCTCGAAATAAATGCCACCCCTCCTTCCAAATACACCCGAGAGATGATTTAAGCCTCTCGGGTCCCTGTGGACGCAGAGACGTCCTTGTTATTAATTTGAAATTACGCTATAATTATATCTGTATGTGCTTTATGTATTTTTTATGTATTTTATAGTTCCGTCAAGATTCAAACAGTGTGTGGGGGAGGGGTTGGGCGGTATCGATGTCATCAGAGACGTATATACTACGCTGTATTGCATTCGTATGGTGGCATATTTCTGCCATCGTGTTATTTAAGGTCGCGTTACGGAAACACGACTTGTCGAGATAATTATGTCAACAAGTCGTGTTATTTCATTTCATTACATTTTGTCGTTTTCTATTGGCAATTTTTAGATATTTTGCCAGGATTGCTAAAGGACCTGTGTAAATCGGCAAAAAATGGACATTTTAAAACAAAATGAAATTAATTGTCTATATCATTTAAGACACACAAAAACAAACTCTATTTCTGTTTTCTTACCCTGGTATTTGCCAGTTTCTATACCTATTACAAGACTCGATCGACTATTCAAAAATAAAAAACATCAATCCGTCCAATCTTAAATTATTACCTGACAACAGAGACATTTATATTACATGCGTAATATATAGGTCTCAGTCGACAATAAAGTAATATATTTTGTCAACATTTATACCATTTACAACAGATCAATTAACACTGACCAATGGCCGATTGATGTTATCGTTCAAGTTGTGTTACCTACAGTTTATAGTTCGTATTAATCCTTTAAAACTTACCAAAATATTAAAACAGATTGATTTGGTTTATTCGCGTCTAATTATGAACATTTTGTAAAGCTTAAAGGATTTTGGCCACGATTTTTCATAATTATATATGTTATGGTCATGTGATGAAAAAAACGTGTAGTCACCGAGACCCCGTCTCTCTCGGTACCCACATGATGGACAGGCCAGGTGACGTCCCATCTATATCTGCATATTTTGGACTTGGTACAAGGTCACGTGAAGTGGTACGTCACAGTGGCACAGCCTATCCGATATCCTATTCATTACGTGTACCCATTCTGACACGCTCTTCACATATTTTCTGCACAAGTAATGACATCATCAAATAAATGTTGTATGGGTAAAATCATCAATCGACAAATAAAGATATCAATACTGTTCTTATCCGAAAGAGAAGTTAAACATTCAAGTCTGAATCACGGAAATCCTCGGGCCAGCATCAACTACAATCAATATAACTTCAAGCTGAGCTATATAATATAAAGGAGTAAATTATCATGCTACAGTGCCCTGTTGTAGCTATATATTTTAGAGGAGACAAGGATAATGTCACAGTCCATGTAATAGCTATATATTATAGAGGAGACAAGGATCATGTTACAGTGCCCTGTGATAGCTATATACTATAGAGGGGACAGGGGTCATGTTACAGTCCCATGTGATAGCTATATACTATAGAGGGGACAGGGGTCATGTACAGTCCCCTGTGATAGCTATATACTATAGAGGAGACAAGGGTCATGTTACAGTCCTCTGTGGTAGCTATAAACTATAGAGGAGACAAGGTTCATGTTACAGTCCCCTGTGGTAGCTATATAATATAGAGGAGACAAGGATCATGTTACAGTCCCCTGTGGTAGCTTTATACTATAGGGGAGACAAGGGTCATGTTACAGTCCCCTGTGGTAGCTACAATGTATATACTATAAACTGTGCTGCTTCGTAGTCAATAAAACTATCTTCACCAACAAAAATATTGCGTTTAGTGAGATAGTCGGTTGACCGTATATCTGAACAGTAATCAGTTCGTGTAGCGATAATTGCAGGGATAAGTAGCGGTACTCTTGAGAGGGATTAACTGTTACTGGTCTACCTAATAGAGAATAAAACAAACGTAGAGTTACCTACCATCTTATTCGCCTTGTGATAAACTTAAATTTATCAAATTTGGATGTTTTACTTCACCATTTAAAACATAATTAAAATGTAATTTTCTGAATGCGCTGAAATGTTTCTCTTTAAATTGATTGATAGTAAAATGAGGTTGTAATATGATGATTAATGTTGAAAAATGGACACCTGCATAGATTGATTTTATTTAATATAGATACTGTACGTTTTCATAGTGTTACTGTTACTGTTTTAAACACAGAAGTGCTCAACTATGTGCTGATGTGTAATCAAAGCTCCCCAACCCCTGATTGGCCTTTAATGTAGCTTGTCTCGTTGCTCGACTGTATATTGTTACATGTGTGAGTCCATGGTCATCTCTTATCGGAGACTGCTGCATCGGCAGTTGTATTCTGATATTGGAGGAACCTACTTTGGGGTCATCTCTGATTGGATACTACTTGCTAATGAGGGCTGTTTTCTGATTGGTGGTATACTATGCATATAAAAGAGATTGATTGTGAGAGGGAGTGGATGTGTGAGAAGAGAAGGGGGAGATGTCCGTGTGAGAATGCAGTGGGTGTGAGTGAGAAATTTTATGAGAGTGCAGTAGGTGTGAGAAGGTGTATGAGAGTGGGTGTTAGAAAGATTGATTTGATGTGAGAATGAAGGTGTATGAAAGTGAGTGAGTAAGAAGGTGCATGTGAGAGTGAGTGGGTGTGCGAGAGAGAGTGAGAAGATTGTGAGTGAATGGGTGTGTGAGAGAGACAGTAGGTGTGTGTGAGAGGGAGAGAGAAGGTTGTGAGTGGGTGTGTGAGAGGGAGAGAGAAGGTTGTGAGTGGGTGTGTGAGAGAGGCAGTAGGTGTGTGTGAGAGGGAGAGAGAAGGTTGTGAGTGGGTGTGTGAGAGGGAGAGAGAAGGTTGTGAGTGGGTGTGTGAGAGGGAGAGAGAAGGTTGTGACTGGGTGTGTGAGAGGGCGAATGATCTGTGTGAGAAAGTAGGAATGTGAGAGTGCAGTGGTGTAAAACTAAAAATTTCAGGAACTCTTTTTTGATCTTAACAAGATATTAACAAAAAACTTCTTGAAAAGTATTTTTTATGTCTTTGCACATTGACTCGAAGGGTGATGTAAACAAAAATCTACGAAGTGAAGTACATACTTTTTAAAGTCGGGCTTTACTTGTTAATAATCAGATCTAGAACACGGGAGATTCCTTCTATGACCTAGTTGATTTTTCCAACTACGGTAGGGGGAACTCTCCCTCCAATACCCTCCACCTTCTCCGTCGCTATGCGCCTAGGACGCTCGACCCTCGGTAAGCATACACTCCGAATAATTATTTGCTACGCCATTGGAGCGAGTAGGTAGTTGAGAGAGAGAGAGAGAGAGAGAGAGAGAGAGAGAGAGAGAGAGAGAGAGGGTGGGGATGGACTATTATATTTTTGAGCTCAAGCTGATGAATGTATGGATAAGTGTAATAGAAGAAAATTATTGATTTTATAATTCATTTCCAAAGCCCAGGAGACAGCTATCAGAATATTATTTTTACAAAACAAGAAGTTTTTCCCATTTTTTCCATTCCTTTTCAAACTTCTCTCTATAAGTTTCTCCTTTGCTATTTGCTATAAATCTTTGTATATTATGGTAGTCTTTTATTGTGTTAACCAATGCATTTATATTTAAGGAGCTATGAAGACAACGCATTTTATATACATATTGTTTAATTATAATGAGTATCTCATTATCAATTCTACCATTAACATTTTGTGTAAGAAATCCAAA